AGAAACTGTCGCCTGGTAACGAAGCCAATTACGCGTTCTATAACTCCCCGATTATGTCTCTGACATCACTGCAAAATATGCTCAGATCACATGTGACAGATGTGAGTCTCGTCACTAAATATTATGAGATCACGTTCGAACGGGAATATAAAGACGCCATATTGGAAGACGGAAAGTAGTTTTTTGCTCTGAAATCCAGCAAACGTAGATAAACTATTATCCTGGCATAAAAAATAGCCAGACTTTGCAAATCTATTACTATGAATCAATATTGAGCCATCTTTTTTTTTAGGTTTATGAGAAATCGACTTGCTAAACAGATGTTAAAGGTCAAGATTATCATGATAAAATCAAAGATTTCTCACAGACGTGTGTTCGCGTATGTATATAATTGAATATTTCACACATACACATCGGTTTTCTACGTCTATGCGTTGTTTCCCTTCAGGACATAGACGATCAAGGCTCTCCACAGTTTTCTATTATGTGTGGCTTTTAACAATTTGTCTCCCTTTCCCAAGGCCCCCGCCGTCGATCCGCCATTCATTCTTACAAAATCGTCAGGTAAATGGATCGCCGCCCTTCCCTGCCTTTCTTCCTCTCAATATGCATTGTGAAGGTTAAGTTTGCCAAGTCTTCCTTCCTCATTATGTGTCCCAGGGATTTCAGCTGTCTTTTCCTGATTACGATTATAAGTATTCGTTCTGATGACATTGTCTTTATGACTTTTTCTTTGCTTCCTTCATGGGATTTTCTGTTTCCTTCTCTAGAACAATATTTCTTCTGCTTCTAATATTTGTCTCATCCTTAAAGAAACTGGTCATATTTACTGCCATAGAAGAGGATGAATACAACAGTGCAATCCTGTTATCTTTTCTTTGCTTCTAACGAAAATTTCCCTGTTACTCATCACCTTAATTGATCATGAAAAAACAAATTTACCCTTCCAAGGAGATTATAGAAACTAAGCTTCAATCTCAGTCAGTTATGTGCCATGCGTGATACACGCTTAGGCGATCATGAATCTTTCGATACATGACTGAAGAGGCAGATTTTTTCCTGCAGTAGGTTGCCATTTCTTTCTTGCCGTAGACCAGTTGCGTTCCAAGGCGATAGAACCCAATCTATCCTGTTATTTACCTATAGCTGCGGGAAGAATAATGGATCTGGCTGGAATTCGATTTCGGATCTCCGATTTCTCAATTCCAGCCGCTGTCCATTCTACTATTCCCAAATTATAATGGCAAAAGTCAGTATTATAATTGGCTGACGCACGACGTTCAAATCCCCAAAACCTTAGTAGCACTTAGTAAATTCTGAAAGAGTGCTCAGTAAATCTTATCTTACCACCCATTGGTTGTCTTGTCGGATGGACTCACTGAACATGCCGACTGCACCCCCGTACATGACCGAGAAGTAACCCCCCATAAAATGAACCAGCTGTCTATTTTTTTGACAATTGTTTATTAGTTTACTGTTTTTTGTTTTGTTTTTTTTTTTAGTTTTAAGATTTGTAGGATAGATTTGTGTGAACAGAATATGTATAATTTTTTTTGTTTGCAAGAAGTCAATTTATAGATACTAAAACTATACCTATTTTGTCTCTCATGCAAACCTATGTCAAAGTTATTAAATGTCGTGCAAAACGGACCTATGTCAAAGTTATTAAATGTCGTGCAAAACGGACCTATGTCAAAGTTATTAAATATCGTGCAAAACGGACATATGTTAAAGTTATCTAATGTCGTGCAAAACGGACATATGTCAAAGTTATTTAATGTCGTTCAAAACGGACCTATGTCAAAGTTATTTAATGTCGTGCAAAACGGACCTATGTTAAAGTTATTAAATATCGTGCAAAACGGACCTATGTCAAAGTTATTTAATGTCGTGCAAAACGGACCTATGTCAAAGTTATTTAATGTCGTGCAAAACGGAACTCTGTCAAAGTTATTTAATGTCGTGCAAAACCGACCAATGTCAAAGTTATTAAATATCGTGCAAAACGGACCTATGTCAAAGTTATTAAATATCGCGCAAAACGGACATATGTCAAAGTTATTAACTCTCGTGCAAAACAGACCTATGTCTACATTCTTGACTACCGGACATATATCTATATTTTTGATTCATGGGACTATCATTTGTCTGTTATTGTTGTTAAAAACCTTACCCGTCTAACTTTCAATTGTTTATTAAAATATGTAGAATTGTGCATTGAATAAAATAGAAAAGGTAAATATACCGTAAGACAAAAAACAGCGAAAACGAAACCAAATCATCAACATAGTTAAATGTTTCTGTTAATTGCAGTATATTTATGTGCGTTCGTATAGTAAAGTCTGTACTAGTGACGTACTCGTTAATGTTTGAAATTAAATGCGAGAATTGATCGGCAGAAATCTATGTGCGTGTTTCCAAATGTTCACTTATATATATATATATATGTGTGTGTGTGTGTGTGCGTGTGCGTGCAGGTATGTAAAAAAATAGGAAAGAACACGTTTGGTAAATAATCCAGGGTTCTTTAGTATTTTTGTTTTTATTTCTAAAAAACAGTGCTCCATACAGAAGTAGGGCTTAGATTATAATTATTTTTTTTTTAAAAATGAGAGCCGAAACCATCAATATAATTATTAAAATTAAATTGAATTAAAGTAACAAGCCCTGTTTCATCCTCAAGCGAAAATTTAGGAATAACTAAATTTTATGTCTTTCTTGTACGCGCACCGTCTATTCATTCACAGAGGAAGATAGATTTTGGCACCATCGTGTGTTGTTAAGTTTCTGGATAATTTTGTTTATTTTATTTATTTATTTATTTATTTATTTTCAACGGGCTGTTTCATATATAAATGCGTCGCACTGAACTACTATCTTCCTCTGTGAATGAATAGACAATGCACGTACAAGAAAGACATAATTCGCTTTGAAATAGACACCCAACCCTATCTCAGCTTGACCTCTCCCTAAAGGTGACTGATATGTGGATAAAAATGGTCGCCCCAGCCGTTTCCATAGCAACGAATGGACACGCTTATAACGATACGTAAATTTCAAAATTGGTTATTCCTGAATTTTCGCTTGAGGATGAAACAGGGCTTGTTACTTCAATTTAATTTTAATAATTATATTGATGGTTTCGACTCTCGTTTTTGAAACATGCGAACTCTTATGTAGCGAAGGATATCATATTTTTTTTTTAAATAATTATAATATATATATATATAAAAGTGAACATTGAATTCAACACTCAGAGGCGACAGGCTGTGGCGTAAATATTGAGGACAAATGGCACAGTAGATAAAGGCGTTATTTAGATCCAGTGACAGGACCCAAAGAGTGTGAGTTCAATACCCGGTTAAGGCAGTGGAGAGCTTTTAGTTGGAAATTAACAAGAGATAACTGACATCCATTAAAACATGGCACGTGGAACTAGAACAGTCTACCCCAGTGAGCGAAATAAAGGGTTCAGTTCGACATCCCAACAAGCCGAAGAAAGCCGGAGCGTACAAAGGCCGAAACGTTATAATAAATATGGCGACAAAGATGAGGACAATAGTCCGAATAATGTAAATAATGTACATAATACCTCATCACAGAAAGATATATATATATATATATATATATATATATAATATAAACATGGAATATTGAGCTCTACCTAGATTCTATCCTCGGTCTGAGGCAATCAGATATCTACCCACATTGACGAGTGTGAAAACAGCGAAACTGTGGATGACTATATATATATATATATATATATATATATATATATATATATAAAAAAAGAACAGTAATATATATATATATATATATATATTTTGATATGAACAGTAAGATATATATATTTGATATGAAAAATAATTTTATATAATGTAAGTAATTCCATTATATTTACTTGTTAATAAAAAGAAATATGATCTATTAAAAAATATTCTAAAATTGTGGTTAGATGAAATGTATTCTAACCTAAACATCCCCCAAAATATCTTTTAAGTATACAAGTAGGAAAAAATGCCGATAGAATTTTTGCCGTTAAAAATAAAAATTTAAAAAACTAAAAACAGACGACATGCATTTAACGGATGTCAGAATTCGTTGAAAAATACATCCCTACCCTCGCTAAACATAACCCCTTTTTCGAACGTAACTAATAATTGATACAACAAAAGTTAATAAAAATAAACACGCTACCACCCCTTGTCTGAATGATTGGATTTCTCTGCATCCTTGGAAACAGTGAGTTATTAATTTTTGTGTGCGTTTAAAACTCGGTAAATTTAAAAAATAAGTTACTCCAAAATTCGCTTGACGATGAAATGGAACTAATGTTTTTAATTTAATTACAAAATTCAATTTGAAGTTTTTAGCTTCCATTTTTGAAACGTGGTTATTAATGTGTAGCGAAAAAAAACATATTTTAAACCAGTTAATTTATATATATATATATATATATATATATATATATATATATATATGTGTGTGTGTGTGTGTGTGTGTGTTGTGTGTCTGTGTGTCTATGTACATATATATAATGAAACATATATACTTGAAACTGCGTCAATGTGTTTTTCATACGAGTACAAAACATTTCACTCAGTCGTAAGAAATATGAAGACATTTTTGAGCGCTTTTCCCCCCATAAGCATTCAAGCACGATACTCTGAAGTTATTCTAAGCATATCACTGAAGTGTAATGTCGGTGTTGCTGCGTTTTGTAACCAGGTGCATATTGTGTAGATTCCAAATCATGTGCTGTCGTTCTTTCCAATCCTTCGTAGCATCTGTTTTCGCACAAAGTTTTACGCGCAAACGATCGATAGGACATCTGCAATGACTTGACATTCATTCAAAAGTGTACGGCAAGAAAAGGCGCCAACTGCTAACGTCTGAAGCTTGAGTTATTTTCTTCTTTTTTTTCCCCCCTTTGCTTTTCCTTTGCGTTTACTCGCTTGTTGTCATTGATACTGGCTTCTCCATATTTTGTTATTTGGTAGACTCTTTGAGTTTTTCTTTTTTTCTTTTTCTTTTTTTTTGCTTTCGTTATTACTTGCTTATTTGTCGTACATTTTATTATTTCCATTTTTTTTTATAATTTTCTTTCTTAATATTACTTATTTTCTCGTTTTCTATTTCTTGTTTCCTATTATTTCCGGCCTTTTTATTTTTGACTTACATTTATTTTACCTTATCTATCTTTTATTCTTTCCCCCCCTTTTTCTCCTCTCCTTAAATTCTTCTTTCGTCTTTCGTTCTCTGCATACAAATGTGCGATATGAAAATCTATTATAATTTTAAGCCCATGACCGTTTATATGCGAGCGTATGTAGATACGGGTATTTTATATTTGCCGATGTATTTTATTTTGGATATATTTTTATACGATTACGCACACAGCAAAAAAAAAATGTTTATAAGTAATAACATTGTTGACACATAACATTGATTTACCGGTGTTGCTGCACAAGTCACCTTAATAATTGCTACATTTTAGTCTAAGATATTATTTACAAATTGAAGTTATATCACTTGCAAAAGATACCGAGATAGATAGATAGATATATAGATACGTGTGGCTGACTAAATATCTTCCAGCATACAACCCCATTCCCCCAGACGAAATGTCGCGATCCTCTCGCTAATCCATCGCTATTTCTATGGCATATGTTCTGATGAGCTATATTCATTAGTTTCACCATTTTTACCCTTTACAAATAAGGCCCGCAATACCAGGTAAACAACTGTGAATCCTTCCTCATTTCTTTCATATTTCAATAAAAAGAAGCAAGTCCGAACAGCTTCTACACAAGAACTGCTGCTTTGTGGAATAGGCTCTTGAGAGGAAGATTTCCCACTACAATTTTTACTTCTTCAAGTCTAGGGTTAACCATTAAGTTTCCTGTATAGCCACATGAAATTTATTTCTTGCTCATACACCACCAAATAGTAAACCTCTGCCTTGAGTGGCTCTTGGACTTTATATTAGCCAAACATTAGTATAAAAACAAATATAATGTTCAAAGTAGGATATATATCCTCAACACATTTGCATAAGCTGTTAAATATATTTAGTTCATTGTTAATAATAATAATAATAATAATAATAATAATATATGCTACCTTGCTATATACGGAATCCCACCAAACAGATGGCGGAAGAGGAAGTGGTTATCTGTTGCAACATCTCGAGGCCCGGGTGCGATTGTTTATATTTATTCATATCTTCACCACTATGTGGATTCTCAGCATAGGACATCCCTCATCCAATAACAACGAAACAGTCAAGATAATTGGCGACTACCTGCGCTGCATACAATTCGAGTAGTCTGATGATAAGACACGAGCGGTGCCGTTAATCCCCGAATCATATAATGAACACAAACACACATATGTTTTACTATATACGTATATGTTTTACTAATATATATATATATATATATATATATATATATATATATATATATATATATTACAAAAGAATCATTCATACAAAAAAGTAAATTAGTAAAGTTAATGATATAAAATGGCGAACTCTCTTCACTAACAAAAATTTAAAGATGCATTAACCTACTAATCACTCGATGAATGTTATGATCCTTGTTTTTTTTTTAAATTATAAGCTCTTTCTCCATATATATATATATATATATATATATATATATATATATATATATATATATATATCGAGAAAGCGAGAGAGAGGTTTAAAAAGAGAGAGAGGGGTAAAAAGAGATAGAGAGGGTGTAAGAGAGGGAGAGATGTACAGGCAGGGATAGATAGATGTGATAATACAATTTGTAGACCTGTTATATTTAGTGCATCCGAATATATGCTTGCTTGTATAACTTCCAAAAGAGTACTTTACAAGAACACAAACAGCATTTGATATTTAGTACAAAATAAGTTCAAATTTACGAGTAAAAAGGATCTGTCTGCCGGGTAAATTAGTAGTTTAATATCGTGTTTTTAATATTGACCAACAAACACAACAGAGGCTTGAGAAGATCCAGTAATGATTACCTAATTCCGATCGTTACATTCACTTACGTAAGTTTGTAAAAGAAATTTTGATACACCCTGTTCGATTCAGACTTGGTATCTCGATATAAGTCACTTTCACACCGATGCAACGTGGCTTCGCTCTGTCTTTCCTACAAATATTTCATGGCTACTGCTCCGATGTGCTTTTTGCCCTCGTGCCCGGACGACGTTGGTTTAAACGTGCTACTAGATTGGCATCTAGGTCCCATCCTTTTACTGTTGGATTAGGTAAATGTAACCGCCACTTCTACTCTAATAGTTTCTTTTCTCGCACTTCCTGATAACTACAATCTCCAAAAATTTAAATGCAACATCAATCGCCATCTTCTATCTTCAACTCCGTTCAGTTTTTATCCATTCGTCGTCGCCCTACCAAGTCTTTTCTCATGGCTTCATTCTCGGTATTTAATATCCCACCCACGAGGAATATATGTGGCACAAGGCCGAGTTTAAAGTGGGTTTCTCCGAGCCCGTAGGCTCGGCCAAAAATATCCACTTTGAACCCGACTAGACGGGTTCAGGGCCTGTCTACCTCCCCGGAAGAAACCTTGCCCTTCGGCAAAGCTTCGTCCGGGTTCCTCTCTGCCAAAGCAGAGAGTTCGACTAACGTCGCTAACAGTCAAGGATTGTATCGCGACGTATCTCAATTCATTCTCTGTAACCCCCTGCGCACAAGTAGCATTCCTGCCTTGCTTTGGCTGCAATTATATATATATATATATATATATATATATATATATATATATATATATATGTTGTAACCTAGGGAAGGTTACTGAATAGAATAATCAAAGGAAGGTTGAAAATGAACGATAGTGCTTAGGGCAAGATACAAGATTCGCAAGCGGCGCATAGAAGAACTAGTCAACTACTAGAAGTCAGTCAAGTGAATTCCACAATCAATCGCCGACTCTAGGATATCTACCAACCGTCCCACGCTGTCATATGGGGCACAAATCCGAATTTAATGCGGAGTATCAGAGCTCGTAGACTCGGCCAAAGATTCCCCGTAAACCCCGTATAAAACGCGGTCGGATAGCTGTTTCCCGAGACGAAACTCTGCTCT